TATCACTAATTATCAGAGAAATGCAAATCAAAACTACAATGAGGTATCACCTCACACCAGTCAGAATGGCCATTATTCAAAAATCCACAAATGGTAAATGCTGGAGAGGGTGTGGAGAAAAGGGAACCCTTCTACACTGTTGGTGGGAATGTAGTTTGGTGTAGCCAGTATGGAAAACAGTATGGAGAGTCCTCAAAAAGCGAAAAATAGACTTACCATATGATTCAGTAATCCCACTCTTGGGCATATATATTCAGAGGGAATTTTAATTCAAAAAGATACATGCACCCCAATGTTCAGAGCAGCACTACAAACAATAGCCAAGACGTGGAAACAACCTAAATGTCCATTGACAGAAAACTGGATAGATTAGATTAACTTTCAGTTGAAGACAGTGACGTAGTTATATATCCCAGTTATTTATGCTATCTCATTATATCAAATAATAAGAATTTGAAATTTGGTCCAGACATATAAAATACTGCAGATACAAAGAATTCGCATGAAAAAAATAAAAATGGAAAAGAATAGTTGGGGGTCTCAACAGTATAATTTCTCATTTTTAAGAAAGCATCAAAATGTCCTTTAGTTTTTCCCTACAACAATAATTCAAAAACATTAGCTGCCCCAAAGTCACCTGGAAGGCTTGTTAAAACACAGATTGCTGGGCCCCACTCCCAGAGTTTCTGAGGCCAGAGGTCTGGAGAGCAATTCGATGTTGCATTTCAAACAAGTTCTTTGGTGATGTTGATGGTTCTGCTCTGGGCACCACACTTTGAGAAGCGCTGATTTAGAATACTGAGTTGATTCCAGCATGCAGAATTTATTTAAAGTTACATACCACATAAGCTTTATAAAGAGATAAAGATTAAGTAAATAAATATATGTAACCTACCCCTAACCTAAGAAATTAAACATTACAGTGCAGTTGAAAGCTCCTGTACATCTTTCCTATTCCATTCCTCTTCCAACTTCAACCCTAGGAGTAATCAATATCCTTCATATCTAATTGTTATTCTTTATGGTTTGCAGAGAACTACAGAAAATCATTAAGAAACAGGAAATCTAAAAAAAAAGTATACAATTATTTTTTAAAAGCATGAAATAACATTTTATATCCATTTGATGGGCAAAACTTAGAAAGTTGAGTAATGCCAAGTATTGGAGGGTTTGATGCTGGAGGGATACAGGGATATGAGAATGTTCATGCCTACTGGTGGTGCAGTGATGGAGCTTTCTAGAAAACAATCTAGAGTTTCTTGATCAAACCAATACAAATATACACTATGGCCCCTGCAACTTAGCTCCTGAGTATCCATTCCTAAGAAATTTCACCTATAAAAGGTGCCATATTTGAAGATTGTGATGGAAGTCAGAGGCAATGTGTTGTCCAATTGGTAATGCTCAACATTAGTCATTAGGGAAATGCAAATCAAAGCCACAGTAAGGATGACCTGGAGAATATTATGCTAAGTGGAGTAAGTTAAACAGAGAAAGGCAAATACCCTATGTTATTACTTGCATGTGGAATCTAAGAAATGAAACAAATAAATTAATGTAATAAAACAGAAACGGACTCACAAATATTGGAAACAAACTAGTGATTACCAGTGGGGAGAAGGAAGGGGGGAGGGGCACGGTAGGGGTAGGAGTTAAGAGGTACAAACTACTATGTATAAAATAAGTAAGCTACTAGGCCATATTGTACAGCTTAGGGAAATGTAGTCATTATTTTCTAATAACTTTAAATGAAGCATAACCTATAACAATTTGGAATCACTATGTTGTACCTCTGAAACTAATATGTTATAAATCAACTATACTCAAATTTTAAATTTTTTTAATTAAAAAATAAGCAACATCAAATGGTACATCTTAAATATATGCAATTTTTATTTATCCCTTAATAAAGCTGATTTTTTTGTTTTACTTAACTATTAAAAAAAAATAGGGACCAATACTTCCCTGGCAGGGGAGATACCGTGATCGTGGAGATGGTTTTCCCAGGGAGACGCTCATCCATTGCACTCCAGGTGTTCTGACCCCTGTGATTTCCCCAAACGCGGAAGACTCAACTGTGTATTTGTGGTAGTGGGGGACTGTGTTTTGTGCTTCCCCTAAAAATAGGGAACACGTGTAGGTAACCTACAATGATTGCTTTTTGAATCTACAGAATGGATTCAAAACAAAGGTCTTAGGGGGCCACTCCCTAGAATGCTATCAAAAGAGCTGTGAAAAAAGATCCTGTGGAGATAACCTAATCTGGGAAGAAAGGTTTATGATAATCTAATCTGGGAAGAAAGGTTTGCGATAATCTAATCTGGGAAGAATGGTTTACCTACTCCCTCAAGAGTATAAAAGGAGTGGAGAGAGGCTTGGGTGACCCACTTGGCAACCTGAGAGGGAAGCTACCAGAGAGGACCTCTCATCGCATTACCAGGCGAGCAGGCCGGAGAGAGGGTGAGTAGATCTCACCAACCCGTGTGTGAAAGGGTGGGAAGTCGGGCTTCGCAGGCCTTAGAAATTGTCAATATGGTTCTTTCCCTCCAGGGAGTGAGATTTGGGGTGCAGAAGTGAATGGGGAGTTTGCTTTTGAACATATCTCTAGGATTTTTAGAACTGTGCATAATTTTTCTATTTAAAAAAGTTTCAGTTTGTTAAGAAGTAACCTGAAAAAAGAAAAAAAAAGTAATCTGGATCTTTTATCTCCAGATTACACAGGTGATTACATTTTACAGCCCAAATATCTGTAAAACAAATATTTGACATCAGACCTATCCCAGATAATCGGGGGAAGTATGGTCACAAAATTTATATTTGGTTATCAAAGGATTATTTTATTAAAGATTGAAGCCACGTCCAATAAGACATATATTATATAATGTAATGTCTGGTCACTGATAAGTTTAAAAATCAGTATTTTTTTATAATTAAAAAAACCCAATCTGGCATTGGAAAGGTGAACCATAATTTTTTTAATAACCTGGTATTTTTGCTCTGGGAATCTAATTATACATACTTGATCTTGATTACCTGCTTAATCAAATAAGTCCCCAGTAATCATGTTGTAAGGCTTAATGAGTGGAATGCTTGAAGATATCAAAGCTTATATTTTAAAAGGCACCCTTGGTTATTCAAGTCTGAATAGAATCTGCATGGTAATTGAATGGTGGTGTGTGAAAAACAGTTTTGGTCTTCATGCTCAATAGTGAAAGCCAAAGGTCAATTTGCCTCCTCCTTAGAAATAACCAATTACACGGTGGCCTAAGTATAGAATTCTCATTGGCTAAGTCAGGTTAACCAGGGCCGGCTTGGAATCCTGTCATGTAGTACAGTGACTTTAATGCCACAGTGTAACAGGACTTTCTTCAGCTTTAGCACATGTTTAGAACTCGATGCCCCCCAACTCAGGCATCACAGGTAAGGAATGTACAGTTCACTGGTGAAGAATTGTTCGCGCTTTATCTCTGATTAAATCGGGGAATTGGAATTCGACATCTTTGTATATAACAGCAAGAAAGATCAAAAGCATGATTTAAAATTCATACAGGGGTTGTAGGAGAGGGAAAAGGAAGGGGAAATTATGGTGTGAACAGCTAAATGAAACTACTGTCCAGTTTGAGAGTGTACTTGAAATGGGGTGCAATTAATTAATTTGACTCAGATATTTTAAAAACAATGGTTACAGTTGTTTAAAGCAGAAAATAAGAAAGAATAGCAAGGCATCAAAGTTAGTGAAGTCATATCAGTTGGCATTATTTTAAGAAACTTATAAACACCGCTGGAAATTCCTAGCTATCAATCTAGAAATTTCCATAGACATAAACTATACTTTTTTTTTTGGTAATTCAGTGATTAAAAATTTTTTAAAGAAATACTGGAAGCACAAATATTCATATAATTTTTATATAGCTTTTTATCAAAGTACAGTCGATTTATATTGTTGTGTTACTTTCTGGTATACAGCATAGTGATTCAGTTATACAGCTATATATATAATATATATATCCTTTTTCACATTCTTTTTCATTTACATCATTACAAAGTTTTGAATGTAGTTCCCTGTGCTGTACATTAGGACCTTGTTGTTTATCTATTTTATATACAGTACTTTGTATCTACTAATTCCAAACTCCTAATTTATCCCTCCCCTTCCTTTCCCCTTTGGTAACCATAAATTTGTTTTCTATGTCTGTCTGTTTCTGTTTTGTAAATACATTCATTTGTATCATTTTTTTTTTAGATTCCACATATAAGTGCTATCATACAGTATTTGTCTTTCTCTGTCTGACTTCCTTCACTTAGTATGATAATATCTAGGTCCATCTATGTTGCTGCAAATGACATTATTTCATTCTTTTTATGGCTGAGTAGTATGCCATTGTATGTATATACTACATCTTCTTTATCCAATCACCTATCAATGAACATTTAGGTTGCTTCTGTGTCTTAGCTATTGTATGTAGTGCTGCTATGAACATTGGGGTGTATGCATCTTTTCAGATTAAAATTTCCTCTGGATATGTGCCCAGGAGTAGAATTGCTGGATCAAATGCTAAGTCTATTTTTAGTTTTTTGAGGAATCTCCATACTGTTTTCCATAGTGGCTACATCAAATTACATTCCCACCAACAATGTAGGAGGGTTCCCTTTGCTCCACACCCTCTACAGCATTTGTTGTTTGCGGACTTCTTAATTCTGGCCATTCTGACTGGTGTGAGGTTATACCTCATTGAAGTTTTGATTTGCATTTCTCTATAATTAGTGATGTAGAGCATATTTTCATGTCCCTATTCGCCATCTGTACGATTCCTTGGAGAAATGTCTATTTAGGTCTTCCACCCTATTTTGGAATGGGTTGTTTGTTTTTGTTATTGAGTTATATGAGCTGTTTGTGTATTCTGGAAATTAAGCCCTTGTCAGTTGCATCATTTGCAAATATTTTCTCCCAGTCTGTAGGTTGTCTTTGTGTTTTGTTTATGTTTCCTTTGCTGTGCAAAAGCTTATAAGTTTGATTAGATCCCCATTTGTTTATTTCTGCTTTTATTTCTATTGCTTCAGGAGACTGACCCAGGAAAACATTGCTATGATTTATGTCAGAGAATATTTTGCCTATGCTCTCTTCTAGGAGATTTATGGTGTCTGCCTTATGTTTAAGTATTTGAGCCATTTTGAGTTTATTTTTGTGTATGGTGTGAGGAACTGTTCTAACTTCATTGATTTACATATGGCTGAACAGCTTGGAAGCATGAATATTCAAATTCACTGATGGTAGACTCCTCTCAGCAAAAGCATTTAAAAAGCCTTTGGAATTCTCAGCAGAAGTGTATTTAGTTACAATTCAGTCTGCAGTCTTTTTTTTTTTTTTTTTTTGTCTCCAAGTACCCTTCATTACAGTAGAATTTTTCTGTATTGTCAAGCTTCTCATCCTTCTGGAAAATTTCAACCAATATGAAAAGGATTTGTGTTTTTTGTTTTGTTTTCCATCCAATTAACATCACACTGGGAGTATTTGGGCCAAAACTTGAGACCAAAAGTTCTCATACTCTCTCTTCCAGACTCTAGTCCCTCTGTAGGAAGACTCTATATTTCCACTCTCACGTTCCAACCCCTCAGGCAGAATTAGGCATCTTGCCTCAGGGTTCCCATAGCACTCAACAGAAAACACTGATTATACATTTTATCATGCTGTACTGTAACTGTTTACACGTGGGTCACTTTTGAGGCTAGCATCATTTTTCACAGTGGGAGCCTCACCTCTTAGACCAGTGCCCGTGCATAGTAAATGCTCACAGAAACTTTCATCAGACCCCTACAAGGAGAAGTATGTTTAAAGAGGCAATATGGGTAGATGGTTTTGTCTTTCTGCATGACAAACCATCAAAGGCATGTTTTCACCCTGCCTAGCTGATGACTGAAGCAGCAGCACCTGGGAGCTTTAGCGTTCACAGACCCCAACCTGTGAATCAGAATCACTGCAGGTGCCTCTAGGGGAGCCAGAACCTCAGGAGATTTGAGTATTTATTTAAGGAACCCATGGATCCTGATTTCATGAAAAGAACAATCAGTCTGGGAGCAGTTTTCAATTTTTGACTAGTTCAGTCATAAGTGTGTTTCAGCCTCTCCTTATGGAAGATGGAGAAGCCAATTCTCCACCCAATGCCTTGTTAGAGTTGGCAAGAGATGCAATCAGATAATATAAAGGAAATCACCTGGGAGTTAAATTGCATGGAAAGGCAAGTTATGGTCCTGTAAGGAGGACTTCCCCTTGGCTAGGAGACTTTGCCACTTTCTGTGAGTCACTTATCCTCTCCAGGGCTCTGTTCCCTGAGGTATAATAAACGATCTTCCAGGCCTTTCTAGCTCTATCTTTACATGGCTCTAAAATTCCTTCATCTTCTCATGTTTGGAAAAACTCCATCCTCCAACCTCTTACTGCATTTGCTGCCTCTCATCATTCTAACAGCTTCTGAATCTCAGCTGTTCCAAAAAGGCACACAGTGTTCTTACGATTTGCAGTGTCCTTATACAATAACCATGGCAGACAGAGAGACTGGGCCATGTAGATAGAGTGCTTTGAAAAGACAAAATCTCCTTAAAAATGAAAAACTATTACGTAGAAGCAAGGGGTCCAAGAATAAAAAAATAACTAAAAACACTGAAGGTTCATTTTTAATGATTCCATGATCATAAATTTGGTACACAGATGCAGGATAAAACACTAAATAGGACACAACAAGATGTTTGCCATCCTGAATTAAGCCCTATATGTACAGCAACCACTGGTGGGGATTCCCCCCTCTCAAAAAGGATTTAATTGAAGGAAAACTATTAAAAATACTGTAAAATCTGTTCTTAAGTAACTATCATTACCATTAACTGGTCAGCAACTTCAGTGTAGGTAGAGATTACCCACCAGTTAACAGAATACATGCCATTCTCTTCTCAATTAAACTTTTTTTTAATGAAGTGACCATTATTTTATTTATAGAAATAGCATCATAAATGTACATAACATTACAATGATCTATGTTAGACAAATAGCAATTTCTGTTCACAGAAATTATGAGTATATATAAATATCCCTGATGGAGAAGAAAACACATGTTTTAATGGAGGTATGTGAACTTGAATTTTTACAAGATTTTTAAAGTGAACAAAGTTGGAAATATTATGAATAGCAATGAATATACTGTGCATTGTTTTAAATAGCCAGAAAGAGAAAGAAAAATACCATATGATATCACTCATATGTGGAATCAATTAAACTTTAATTAGCATTTCTTTGGTGCAACAAACCAAATAAAGGCAAAGGAAAATTTCTCCTTACATTTTCAAAAAGTTAATCCAGTCTTCAAGTTCACATTTTTGCGAATCTAAAAGCCTACTCACACTCGTAAAATATAACTATTTAAAAGTATTATGATACACTTGCTTTAGGTTTGCCCTGTCAAGTGTTTTCTCAAGGCCTGGCTTCTGTCTGCCTGATAGTGCACAGAAGGGAGGATGATGCCAGAGGGGAAGTTAAGTCTAGAATTCTCTGTGCAAAGCCTCTGCCAAAGAGATCAGCATGTCACTATCACTGTAGGTGAATCTGTACTAGATCAATAATTCATTTCTGGGTCACTGATACTACTTATCAATTCTTTGGTCTTGTTATTCATTTCAAGGAATAAAAAGTAAGATTATTCTAAGCAGTAATGTAAAAGTGAGTTATTAGTAGTCTTTTAGGAAAAATACTCAAATATAGAAACAACAGACCACAAAAGAGAGTAAACAATCTGGCCTTGATACTGTTCAAGATAAGCCAGCCTGTTATCACCCTGACTTTCTTGATTTCACCTTCTAATCTCATTGTCTGCTGCTAGATCCTATTTCTTGGGTTCTGTGTCCTACCAAACACCAGCACTGTCCTCCACACATCCTTAAGTCAAGCATTAAACAATAATACCACAAAATGTGCTGGTTGTTCATTAAATACCTGCTATGTGCCAAGCGCTGTGTTAGGCACAGGGAAATTAACAGGACATGGCCTCTGCCTTGGAAAGCTTTATGGGGAGTGAGGGAGCATTCAGTTAGTCTATAAGCTTGTCGTAGACATTCTTTTCCTGGAGGTCATCTGATGTTATAAATAACATTTTCAGTTTCCTTTTTAACACTATGGAGAGTGTCCTGACAGGCACACACCAATAAATCAACAAAAACATGTTCATTTATTTGTAAAACCACAATCATAGTTCTTAATTAAAGCTTATTAAAGGAAGCTAAGAAGCAGTTATGAGTGGTTTCTTTCCTCCTGACAACAGCAACCCAGGAAGGACAGACTAGGAAATAATAGAAATAATATTATAAAAGATCATGGAGTGGCCTCTTGCACAAAAGACTAAAGAATGTATCCGTAGCCATTATTTTCATAATATAATAACCAATTTCCATAGTTTTCAGTGGTATTTCTTAATCAAAGTAAATTACTTGAAAGTGAAATTTTACAAATACAAGCCTAATTTATAAAATTCAATTCAATAGACATAAAGTTACCCTATCAAGCTGCTCTAAAAGTTTGTTAAAGGCTTGGCCTCAGTTTCTATTTATCTCGTCACAGACCAGTAACAGCTTGTAGGGTGGCGCTGGTTCATGGACTACACTTGGAGTATCATTGGCCTAGGGCACAGTTTCTCTTGAAATGTTCATGAGAATGAGAAGGGAGGATGGAGTCCCAGTAATTTATTACATTATCATATTTGGTGATTCACTTTTACTAAACTCACAGAAGATAACATATAAGCTGGAATGCAAGGACTTTGGAGTAATTCCTTTCCAGGATTAGAATTGGGGGACTCCCAATAACCCATTAAAAGTTTATTGGGCAAGAACTAGAGCATAAGAAAGTAAATAACCTTAAGGGATGTTCCAAGGCAAGGAGAGTAATTTAGCAGAGAATTGAAGGCAGAGACTCTTGTCAAGCCACTGGGATTTGAATCCCAGCCACATCACATAATGCTTGTGTGACAAACTTTGAGGCTCTGTGTCCTGATCTTTATAATGGGTATAATATCAATCTGGAGAGGTTGATAAAAGGATTAATATAGTACTTAATACAGTATCTAATGCATAATAAGTAATCGATAAATATCAGTTGATGTGAATACCATTCTATAATGATATATCTCTACAATAACCAGCATGCTCACTGTATACAGAGTCAACGCCTCTTCCCTGGGCAGCGCTGGATCAACACTGATAACCCTCAAATCTTTAGGCTTTACTCCTCTATGTATGTACCCAGTATCATCTTCCTTCCATTCTCAGTCTTCCTCCAGGCAGATACAATAAAATCGATTTAATATCAGTTTACAATCACATTCTAGTTCGACTTCTCTTAGATTATACCAAAGTCATGTTGACTCAAGTTTGAGATATTTCCAAATGTCATACATTTATAGGCAATCTTCTGGCTTATAACCACAGATATGGTATATAAACACCTTTACTGTGGAAGTTTCTGGTTTAATTCTCTGAAGACCTTATTAGCTTTTATTTCAAGTTCTCAGGGAACTTCTCACTGGCTGGGCATTACATTTCCACATATGATAGCAAATAAATTCACATTAAAAGCAAATTATAATAGGATTAATTCTCTGGAAACATGGACTCAGAACAAGATGGTTGTCATGTTTTGACAGCTGGAGTCAGGTTAGAATAACCTAGTGCCTTCATCTCTGCTGCTGAGATTATAAGGCTGCAGATCTATCAGAACGACCTCTTGGACAAATTCTAACTCCCAGTTTCTAAATGCCACATAAATACTCCTTCCTCTACTTCTAAATAGTCATCCTACGATTAAATGTTTCAATTTTCTTCCATGAAAATAACATTCCTAGACATTCATTTTCTGAAAATATTCCCTGAAATTCTGAAAATATTAAGAATATTTGATATGACTTAATTCATTTGAGCATCACTTGATATTCCCCACTCCCAATAATAAGGGTAGCATTTTTGGAAAGAAATCAGAAAATATAGAAATTGGTAAAGAAAAAAATTTTTTCATCACATCACCCAGTGATACAAAGAGCTTAAATATCAGTTATAACATCATTGACATTTTGGTTTATTTCTTCCTGCTTTTAACTTACATTTTTACATGGTTGTAATTATACAAATTATTTAATTTATATCCTTTTTTCATTTAATATTACAGAGTATTTCCTCTATGTCAAAGTCATTAAAGGCTACTTTTAATATCTGAAAAATATGCCATTGTGTAGATATTTCATATGTTAGTATCTCAAGTGATATCACCTACTATGTGTTGATTTTTTTAACCAACTTCTATCTCAGAGTCTGAGTTTTCGAGTAAGTTGAAGAAAAAAATACAAATGTGTGTAGCACAGATTGAAAAACAGTTAAGAGCACAATAAATTTTAGCCTTTCTTACTATTATAGTTACCTATCAGGAGTTTTGACTGTTCTGTGGAAACTTAAGTATACAATTTTTAGGCATTCCCACTCCTCTATTCCTGAAATCATCAGAAATAATGCCTCTCCAAGAATAATTTGAGGACCTTTATTTCTTTTATGCTTCTGGTTTATTCCTTACAAACACTTTGCTGATGAAAATGGTCATGTGAATTATGTAACTTTCTGTCAGGGTGCCTATAAAATTCAGCCCCATGGCATAAAATAAGCTTATAATAATGGCCTTATATGTTTTTTGGACATTGGAAGCTATAGGGCGTGTTGTGATTCAAATTGTCTCAATGCTATTTCACTATCTTTGATCTACTCACTTCTCTTCGTTTCTGCCGTCCTCACCATAGTCAACACTTTCACTGTCCACCATTTAGCAAGGCAGGAAACCTCGAGTCTTTCACCCCATCACACCAATTCCACTCTAGGGCTCTCTTCACCATTCTACAAAGAATAGGAAAAAAATGATTTTCTTAAAACAGAAATTTCCTGTTAAGCAGCTGTTGCTCATTGTCCTTAAAATAAAGTCCAATACTTACCATGGCCTGGAAGGCTCTGCGTGACCCAGTCCCTGCCAGGTCTCCAGGGTGACTCCTGCCTTTCTCCTCTTTTCTTACTTTGCTACAGCCCCTCCAGTCTTTCATTTCCATGAGCACAACCAAGCTCCTTCCACCTGGGGTATCTGTCCTGTCATTTCCTCCACCGAGAATCTCTCTCTCCTCCTCCTCTTTCTGTGATTCATTCTTACCATTTAGGTCCAGGTCTCCTGGGAGACACTGCCCGCCTTCCCAGTCTAAAGTCACTGCCCCAGCTATTCTGTTTACCTCCTTCAAAGAGCATATTACAACTTATAATTCTATTCTTTGCTTAGTTACTTGTTATTTTCTCTTTCCTCTTCAGTATATAAATTCCACTGGCAGCAGGAACAATGTTTATGTTGTTCATCATAAGATAGCAGAGTGCCTGGCAAAGGCTAGGCATTTAACAGGTGTAGAGGAGGGAGGGAGGGTGGGTAGCCCCAGCTACGGGAGTGAGAGAAAAGCCCGGGGAGCCTGCGGAGCAGGGCCAGGCAGCCCTCGGACAAACCCCAGTGAGTACCATCATTAAAAGGACTGAAAAACCAAGAGAAGCCTGCAAAGAAAACAGGAAGACTGCAAACAGGATGCCCCAAAGGATTTCAGAAGGGAAATTAATCTGGTCATATCTGAACAGATCCTGATGAGTATCTCCTGGGTGCATTATTATGTCAGAGGCCACCAGAAATGCATGATATGATACTATCTTAAGTAGAAGAAATTTTGAAATGCTTCTATGCTCCTTTTTTCTTATTCAGTATCTTCTGGTAATGAAATGAGCTACAGAAATACACTAAAATAGCAATGTTTGTTAACAGCTAAAAACAAATTGTGATAGAGTAGGAAAAAGGCATGCCTACTATAGTTTTTCTGTTAAATGTTATGTTTGCTGGACACTGTTCAAGAACATGCCTCCTTATGTAAGGCTTACCCCAGTGATGCTGCTTGGGTCAGTGTTGGCCTGGATTATCTGCAGTCTAAATGCCAACTCTGTAAATTAAACCTGCCAAATGACAGCTTTGCCATAGCATGCATAACAAACCTTTAAAATTTATTTATACTCCACTCCGTTGCTCCAGCCAGATTAAATTCTCCTTTCCAAAGCTATTTTTGCCTCACTTCAGCCTGTGGCATAATTTTTTATGCAATTAAATAAAGACTGTGGCCCTCCTGATTTCTAATTCCCAAGTGATTTTTATTCAGACTTTAGAACAGAGAAAGAAAATTTTCCAAGTTCACTAAAAATAAGAGTTTTCTAAAACTAGAGTCCTCCTGGTACCCAGTATGTGAATCAGTCATAGTAATGGTATGCTATGAAAATATTATCAATTATTATAGGTTCATAATAAACCCTTTATTCTGTCCCAAACAGAATAGTGAGACAGTTCCTTTCACTATGCAAATAGAAATATTTTTACTAATATGTCTGTCACATCTTAATATGCGCACGGAACCTCCACAGAACAGTCACTATATTAAATGGCAGGGTTTCTAATTTGAAGACCTACCTATGCAATTTTGGGGTTTGTATTCAAATTGATTAAAATTAGACATGAAAGGTAAAGGGACAGAAAATGGACATATTAGAGATTTACTAAAGAGAATTGTTTCTTAAAATAGATAATTTTAAAAGGTTTTTTGAAAATTGTCTTAAAGCAGTTTTACAGAGAAAACATTACTTCTAATGACTGAGTTTGACAACTTAATAAAATGTTTATTTCTGATCCAGTAGGATTCATTTATCTAAAGATATTTACATCTTCAGCACCCACCTGGATGTCTGACAGGGTCGAAACACAGTAGTCCAAGTTCAGGGACTGGCCTATGGACTTTGACCCTGAAAGGCTTCTTGTGACAAACTTAATTGCTTTTTGGAGATTTCTGTGTTAAAAGTTCGCACAGAAATAATCATGCAGCATTGCTGTTTGGGTTTTGTTATTCATCAAACTTCCTAAAAAAAAGACTTGATCTCATCACAAGAAAAAAAACCTGTACTTACATATGGAAAGAGATGTTAGCTACATTTATTGTGATTATTTTGTAAAATACACAAATATTATATCATTGTCATACACCTGAAGCTAATATAATGTTATATGTCAATTATGCGTCAATTTAAAAGTAATAATACACAAAAATATAGATTTTTTAAAAGACTTGATGAATCTTTAAATCAGTAACTTAGAGGAGGAAAATGAAGTCACTTTTTAACATAGAACATACTTCAGTTTTAAACAACATTCACACGCCAAAAATTATGTTCTCAGAAATTTAAGTATACTCTACATTTTTAACCTTTTTTACAAACCACATAAAAAGATTCATTTTAGATATAAAATAAAATAGGCTGTTCTGTAACAACAAAAGGAAAACAAACTGTTACAATGTTGATACAAGCTGTGTATCCCTGAATTTTTAGGACACCTTTTAAGTATGGGGATATACTTAGATTGCCCTCTGCACTGGTATCCAGACGCCTACTGGGGTACTTGCCTCTACTAAGTATACTTGGCACATCATTATACCTTGCAATCTAGTATTTTTTTTCTGGGTTGGTATTGTCACTTTTGATCTTTCCATCATTGCAGTGGCAATACTCTTACTATATTAAAAAATTTTTATCAGACTCCCTCAACCTACCATTTATAACCTTAATAAATCTGAGGAGAGAGAAAGGACTGAAATCCTCCATTCTTTTTATGTCTGGTATAAATGGAATCATTCAAAGTTTACTAGGAGATCTGCCGTCCTGTAGAGATTTCTCTGCATCTTCATCTTCAGGGTTTGCTGATCCAGACAGACTCTTTTCAGAAACAGTCTTCTGCAGTGTTTCATCTTCCATAAGGATTTTCCTCGTGATTCTTTTAGTCTTCTTTATCTCCCAACTGTTGGCTTTGGCATTTTGAATATGGAATATGGAAAGTCCTGCCTACCATGAGCTCAAGGACACATGTTCTGCTGAGAAAAGTAACTCCTACCAGGGCATTTTGTTTAGCTGGATAAGAAGTCTTCAATCTTAGGGCTTCTTCTGGAGCATTGCTTTTCAGAGGTTTTCTCTTACCTCTGGATGTCTGGACCACTATTTGCAAGCCTGCTAGCTCAGTCTGGAGAACCTCTACTTCCGTAAGTATGGGTTCTGATGCTCCAAGTGCAAATCTATAGAGATTAAGTGAGTCCTCCGACAACAGGATTCTCCTAAACAATGATGGGATGGACTACTGTTCTCTGAGAATCAGCATCTTAAAACTATTGGGCTCAGGAGAGCAGACACGCTCAGCATAGCAGTGAACCACAATAGCACGGACACATATAAACATGGCAGCTGCCAGAGTGCCAGGCCCATAACTACTCTGAGAGAATTCAGTGAGCTGGTCAGCGAGACCACACTTAAACCTTGTTTAAAGTGTGTCCTTTTTCTTCAATATCAAAAGCTTTATCTAGTTTTTTATCCTTGAACTATGTTCTTTCAAAGTAGAAACAAGCTAGTTCCTCATCTGAGAAGCTAATAACAGACCCCCGCCCCCGCCCCCGGCCCGAAGCTGTTAGGCCACTTGTGAGTTTGAGCCCAGCTTTTCCAGCTTGATGAGCAACAGCTGACTGGATACTTCATGTCAGCATTGCTAATTACAGGATCCAGCTCACAAGGCTCACAACTCGTATCACAAGTTCTACAAGAAAACTGGCTCATACTGAATTAGCTCTGCTAACTATTAGCTGAATTTATATCTTGTCCCACCAAATTCATTTTTTGAAAAGCCACTGGGTGAAAAAATACTTTCACTTTCCCCCCAGCTCACTGTGCTGACCATCTTTGGGTGAGAGTTGCTGATTGTATGTGTTTTCTAACTACAGTATTGTGTATGTGGGTCAAGCCTTTTATATATTATGGTGTTAATTCTGCCCGCGTTACATCGCCAATATTCTCTCCCAATGGGCCATTAAGTATTTTAACTTTGTCAAAAGTCTTTTGCCATATCAAGGATTTTAATTTTTATATAATGAAATCTGTCTTTTTCTTTGTGACTTGAGTTCTCTGATCTAGTTAAGAAGGCCTCTCTCACCCCAAGATTATTTTTTTAATCCTCCTATATTTTTAGGACTTAAAAACTTCAAATCTTTACTCCTTCATAGTTTGTGAAGGTACATTATGTATTTCTCAAGTTCTTTAGTTTCCCTTGATTTAGGTGGGATTCAAAAGTTTCCTTGACAAGCAATTTATTTAAAACGAAGGTGATGTGACTTTTGTTCCTGCAAAAGCCTGCCTGACCCAATTCCTTTTGAAAGCACTTACTCTGTTTAGAGTATACGTTTATAAGAAAGTTGAGTAAGTATGCAAGCACAGTCTCTTAAGTATAAGTTCTGACAAATCCTAAGACGCTGCTGACCAAGAAAACAATTTGATCCCTAAAGCCCTCTCCAATCCACTGCTTAGTGAAAACAGCAAACAAAGGGCCTCAGTGTTAGCAGAAAATCGAGTTCTTCAAAGCAGGTAAAACTCCTGTTTACTCCTTCCAGAAAGCGGAGAAGAAAGAGTTTTCAGATTATAAATGACAGAGTTGCCCTTGTGTAACACAGAACAATTGTGATAAGGCTTTTACTTCTTAAGGGCCTAAATTACGAAGATAGTGGGGCAGTTCTGAAAATGAACAAAAAGGAAAGCTTTAGCTCTGACGCAAAAAATTACATCAATCCTTGACAAAAACAGAAGATTCCTAATTTTTAAAATGCTCCCTAACCTTTCATTATCAGTGACAACGCATCAAGTGAGCAGCAGTACAAAGGATGCATGTGATTTCGAAATGCCACGATTGAGCCAATGCTGTTGCCCGCGTACGTAGTACGAAGGCGTGACCAAAATAGACTGGGAGCAGAGGGCTTTATCTGCATCACGAGATACTCTCCCATCCTCTATAGGATGTTTGCTGCAGTAAGTCCTCCCCGCTGGAACGAGCCCCGCGACCGGTGCTCGCTCTGTCCCGGCCAAGGGCCGTGGCACCCCAGGGGTTGTCACCCGACAGCGGTAGGACCACAGAAACATTTGGTGACGGGGACCGCAGGGCGCAGGTGCCAAGGTAAACCGCTGGCAAAGATGACTGTGGTTTGACTTAGGGCAGAAGGAAGCGAGGGCCGGGACTGAGCGTTCCCAAGGGGACTGCATTTTAAGTTGAGGCCAACTTCAGGCCTCCTCAGGTGACAAGAGCGCAGTGGCTGGTGGTTTTAATTGGGTAGATCTGCATCCCTTCCCGCTCCCGACCCCAGGAAGCGTCCAACCTAGTCCCTCCTCGGCCTCTTCCCTCCCCCCGCCGCGATAGCGCTCGGCTGCTGCGCGTCGCCATTCATCAACCGGTTCACACCGGCGGCCGCCGCCGCGCTGTGACGCCCGTGGGGCGGGCCTCCGCCCCCGCTCGTCGGCGCTTGGCCTGGGTCCAGGCTGTGATTGGGTCCCGGGGCGCTGACGTCACGCCCACTATAAATGGCAGGGCTTGTGACGCAAGGGCGCTTCGGCGCGC